GGTGAAATCTCCAAGTGGTTTGTCTACTGATCACATTATATCCAACATTGCCATTATAGATTTATTTTTAATGTTAAAAAAAAAACTGTAGAAATGGTGCACTATCACTATTTGTCCTTGGGACAATGCCATCACCCTTTAATGCTCACTAACTTCTTTTCCAAACCAAGAGCAAAAACTCTGGCCCTACACTCCATGAAAATTTCATCACCACAATTCTAAATCAAATGATCTATCCTAAGCTGTAAAAGCACAACTGCCTATTCCTGTAAAAACTGTCATTTTCAATACATTTACTCATCATATATATTAGCCTATGTATTTATTAATCCTGCTACAATTCCATCAATTAAAAAAAAAGATAAAATTCCAAATACTGACATAGGCAACACTGTATGCTCCTTAAATGAGCATTCAAGGGTTAAGCATGATAGAAAATTTAACAAATGATATAGAAACATCATTCCTTCTGAGAAGTGCAAAATGAATGGCAGGGTAAATAGCTCCATATCATGGCACTGTAACTTGCTACCATGGTCATTTCTTTACACTCCACTAGTAACAGTGACCAAAACCAATTTCATTTTTAACATCTTTACCCAGCAATTTGAACATGTGGTATGCAATCGATATTCATGTATAGTAAATAACACCTTAAACTTTTAGAGTCCCTTTAAAAAAGTAAAAGTGAAATAACATTCAATAAAACTTTTAATATTCCATTTATGTTGGCTGAGAAAAATTAACCTTTTCTTTAGAAATTTCTTGAACTGCAGTTTTCACTTGAACAGAGCTACTCCATCTTCAATACATTGCTAACATGGAAAATTTTTAAATCAATAATTAAATGCAATTAGAGAAACAGCTTAACTGATTTATGTATCAAAACACAAAAGGGAAACACAGAGCTATGTTCTCATATGTAAAAGGCCACAGTTTTGAAAGGGGGTATTAATTTGTAAATAATCTTAAAGTACTGCTCCAGTAGCCTATTTTTTTAAAGATCAGTAATATATGTAAACAAATCCTTTTTTCAATCTGCAATTCACTGAGTTTAAGCTTTAGTTGTTCCTTTCTACTTCAAAAAATGGGTTTCTTTAATAAACACACTCTAAATAAGGGAATAAACACTTTATTTTAAAAATTCAAATATGCTTCAAATGAAAACTCCTGTCCATTTATTAAGCACCCACAGAGTGCCAGGCACTATACAAAACATTAAAAAGATTTATTCATGCTCTTTTAGAGCAAAATTCACTATTCTGTTACACTTGGCATAATGCTGACATTTTAGATCCATTGTCATAAAACAACCAAGGTCTTCAAGACTTGCTCAAGAAACAAGTTTGCAATCCACAGTAGAAACAGATCACGCAGGTTTATGCAGAAGTCAACTGGTGAGGTCTGTCAACGATTTCACTTAATGTCCTCTCCCTAATTAAGAGAAAATTAAAGTATTAAGCACACAGAAAATGGATTTTTTAATAGTATTACAACCTAAAACTCAAGTTTAAAATCAGCATTAGTTTCTATAATGTTTAGCAAACATATTTTACCAAATTTAACTGTCATTCATATTACACTTTCATTTTTCAAATTAATAATTAAGCAAAACCAAATTAGAATTAGGTGAAAAAATTGAAAGGAAAAGGCAAAACAAAAAGTGATATAAAATAAAGTCACAAATTAGGCTAAGCAAAGAACATCATGGTGTTCTACAAACTTGCTGGCAGAGAAAAATAAACTTAAACAGAAACAGAAAATGCCAGTTAATATCAATTCTAAAAGTCAAGCAATTTAAAGACTTTTTAAGATACTCACCTCTGAAACCACCACCCCCTCTTCCTCCTCGGAAGCCCCCACCTCCACCTCCTCTTCCACCTCTAAAACCACCTAAAAAACAATTATTAAATAATAATGCAAAATATTTAAATAATAATATAAATAATAAACACAGTTATTAACTATATAACCTCTTACGCTGATAAGCCTTCAAAGATCAATACAATAACTATAATTATAATGAATACAGATTCACATATTTTATCATGGAAAAAATTTTAGAAGATAAAAACGGAGGGACTGTGGTAGTTTACCAACTGGGCAACAGGCTAAAACCCCAGGTCCCTTTTAAACAAGTATTCCATTTCAATAAATTAGAAACCTTGCTACTTTAAAGTATAATTCAGTCTTGTTAAATGTATGATTATCACCTTAGCTCTTGCTTATGATAAAAGACTTTTTTGATTCAACGAAGGATAGTTTGATGGAACTAAGGCTTTTTATCCTAAGAACAAAGGGTGGCACCTATGGGTGCTTTTGCTCTGGGGGCACGATAATAAATACGATAGTTAAGGTTAATTGAGCTACATAGGTAAGATTTTTTTTAAATAAGACAGTTGTGAATTTTTTGAAATGTTAAATGATACTCAAATGAGAATAGGGGAATCTCTATTCATCAAATTCTCAAAAAGGTACCCTTGAAAATACTGGAGAGAAATATGTTGATATTTTTTAAAGATATTCCTTGCTACCTATATGGAACCAAACAAGTACATTTATGGAGTGAAATGATGATTAAATTGAGAGACGCAAAAGTGAATCGTTCCTTCTCTTTTTCTGATCCAGTAACAAAAGCTGTCCAAGCCCAACTTTCAGCTCCTCTTCCTTTCCACTTTGGCTCTGCCCAGTAGTACCCTATCACTCGCCCTCCCCCTACTAACAGGACATGGCAGCCCCACTCCCCAGAGCCCTGCTCATCACCTAGCTGCCCATAACGATGAATGTGCCAAAACCTTGGGGAAAGGCATATATCAAAACAGTGAGATCATAGCAATGAATTTATTAGTAATAGTTCTTGACATGACATCAGAAGATACGCATTTTAATTCTGGGTCTGCCAATTGTTTGATGAGGGCAAATTAACTTCTGTAAGTCTCCATTTCCCTCATTCATAAAACAAGGGTATCATCTATCTCAAAAGGATTCACTGAGATTAGAAGAATATACACAGAAATTAAAAGAAGGTATGACCAGCTTTCAGCATACAGTCTATACTCAATGGTATTAAAATTAAGATGATTTTATGGTTTATTAAAATGCCCAAGAAAACATGAATAACCCAAAGAAATAAAATCCTCAAAAGTATACTACAGTAGATTTTTTTTTCTTTTTAAGTTGTTGAAATGAAGCATTATTATTATGGACAATCTGTCAATATTTGAAAGCAGCTTTACCATAAGGGAGGTTTGCTATGTACAAAACTAAATTGTACTCTATGAATTTAGCTGTGACTTTGACATCTCATCAGAAACTTTCCCCAAGTAACTTACCGCCTCTGCCACCACCTCTGCCACCTCCTCCTCGTCCTCCTCCTCGGCCTCCCCTGCCAC